ATATTGAATTACTTTGCCACGCTTTTCAAATCAGCCTTTGACATCATCAGCATGTCGTTGTATCAGATGCAGTCAGGGCCTGGAGCAGTGCTGCGTGATTTCTTGAGGCAAGTTCTTAAGGTAACTGCAGTGATTGTGAAATCAGTGCCTATCACAGTATTCTCGCACAACATCGACAGTTTCATCCTAACCCCTATTCTTGCAGCTTTGTCTTTCTGGTCAGTTTGCTCCAAGTAGCGCGCAAGAAGGGTTTTTCCTTTATCAGCATCAGTTCTCTGACATATCAGGTCTGTACCCTGAAAATCAGGGATACCCCTTGGTCGTGCGGCACCGTGCATGCTCCGTTGAAGGCGCCAGAATGTCACAAGAGATCCCTCGGAGCAAACGCTCTTGCAGAATTCATTCCATTTCGCTGTCTTGGCTTCCTTCGCAATTAACTTGAAAGCCACTGTCTGCTTGTTGACCTCATCTTCCAGACTGATCAGGAGATCCGAAAGTGACGGATCAGTTTTCCTTGCCTTTTTGCCATGCCTTGACAGCTTTCCCTTTTTCTAGCCTGGCCGAGTTGACTGGGGACAGATCTACTGGCTCCTAATAATCATGTCATGAGAGGCGACTAATTAGGTATGTTTTCTTCTAAGCCGGAGTGCATCTACCTGAGAGGTGAGGAACCAACAATCTACCTGAGAGGTGAGGAACCAACAATCTACCTGAGAGGTGAGGAACCAACAATCTACCTGAGAGGTGAGGAACCAACAATCTACCTGAGAGGTGAGGAACCAACAATCTACCTGAGAGGTGAGGAACCAACAATCTACCTGAGAGGTGAGGAACCAACAGTCTACCTGAGAGGTGAGGAACCAACAATCTACCTGAGAGGTGAGGAACCAACAATCTACCTGAGAGGTGAGGAACCAACAGTCTGAAAAGACATGCACCAGATCTGTAACATAAATGTGCATGTAAAACTCAAGTTCTGGGACAAGACTAAAGTGACAAAGTGGACGAACAACTAGAACTTTCGCTGGAGTTTACTGCCGGTGAACACTAGGAAGAAATTAATACACTGGACAGAAGGTGGTGAGTAGCAGTTGGAGTACAGAAGGCTTCAGTAACAATCAGAATTATGATTCCTCCTCCTCCTCTTCCTGTGCTCCAACAGGGGCACACTGTCCCAACTACTCCCAGCAGAGGTTGGAATCTGGTCCAACTAAGCTACATTACATGACAAGCGCTGGAGACCGGCTACGACCGCAGACACCCCGTCCTATTTGTCACCAAGTCAGAACTCAATATTAAGCATGGCTGATGTTGAATGGATAAAATGTAGTAAGAAAAAGTCAGCACAGAATCAATTCCAAATTACATCATCATCCCATAATACTACGCGTCACTGGGTCAACAGCTGCTGTTAACTGATCAGATTCCTCGACCTGCAAAGGTTAGATGCAATGGACTTTGTGTCTGCAGGCCTATTAAGTCCTGTATCCAGGTCTTTCTTGGTCTGCCTCTTCTCCCCTTTCTCCCCTCTACTGAGCCCTGTAGGTCATTTTATTTTTTAGAAGCCGTTAGATTTTATTACATGTCCGTAGCATATATCTAAATTACATACAGACAGCATATCAGATGGTTTGCTGCTTAGAGAGAATGCCTTGTGACACCATACCACACAAGGCATGTTCCAAGAGGACAAGGATGTAGAGCACAGGGTAAACCAAGACCACAGTGGAAAGATATCAGAGAAACTTCACAACAGCACGATGTGTCTATGCTATGAAAAGGTAGTGGACTTCTGAAGGAAAGGAGGTCGGTCTTCTAAGGAAAAGGGACCTGGCTCCTAAATTATTTTCAGATCTGCATATCCCCACTCAAGGCTATGGAAAAACATCATGAGAACCAAAGCCATTACTTACAGAGCCAAAGGAAGAAGACTGTCCATTCTGTTGCCGAAGGAGTCGTTTCTCGTACTCTGGGTCCATACGGCATTCAATCAATATATTTTATACTCTCAATTTCATCCAACAGGTTACTGTATTCCTTGACCAAAAAGTACTCCGAGACAAAATAGCGTCAGTTTTGTCACTTGAAGAAAGAAAAAAGGCATAATAATATAATACACACACTGTGGTGACTGTACTTTGTGTGTTGCTAGCTTCTTGTTATAATGAAAGATTATATCCTGGTTTAGCCCAGAGTCTCCAGACTCTAGCTAACATCAAGCTTCTCCATGTAACACTGTTGCATATGTGCTAAGCTACCAACTTTGGAACAAGCACAACTGTCTGCAATCAAAAACACAGAATGCCACTAAGGTTCCCATATAAATTCTGCCAGGTTATTGGCCTCGATCAGCACCTTCTCCCTCAAGCAGGGGATCTCTGTGGCAAAGTGGTCAAGCCGTTTGTCTCCTCGTCTGAAGGTCGTGGGTTCATTTCATGGCGGCGCCGCTCAGTTAACGAGTGCAATTTTTACGAGATCCCTGCAGATCGTTGCCGGATCTACGGAGGTCATGCTCTGTGCATGCTCTTGGCAGGCAGCTAGATGTTCCGCAGAGAGAGACTGAGACATATGGGATAAAGCCCGGTGCAGTGAAGTCAATCCTCTCACCCCTACCTTTAATCACTCAAGCACTTTATCTGCATACATATGTTTTGCCTAGCAATCACTGCTAACTTCTACATAATCATTTACACAATTTTAACTAGTACATTTGAGTTAAACTATATTTATGAAATCACTACCGTCTTCCTTGACCAGTTCACAACTGACCAAGAGCTAACCTCGTGTCTTTCCTAGTTTGTTCTTTTGGCCTTGTGTATTCCGTGCCAACGTATCATGCATGGGCTTTCTGCCTAACTTGTTGTGACCATGAGCTATCGTGCAAAGCAAGGTCATCACACACATCAATTGTACTTAAAACTTAATTTACATGACAAAGTCAAATAAGAAAGAACTCCCCAAATTATTCTATCTGCTAGAAGTATTTCTTTCCTCTAAACAAATAATGGGGGTTTCAGAAGTTCAAATAACAACCATGAATTACAGAATCAATTTTATAAAGACATAGAACAAAAGTTAAATGCATCTGAAAACAAATGCCTGAGAAGATAAACACTAAATGAGATGAATTTTTCAAAGAAAAAAAGGTGAACAAATAACTGAAATGTCTCAGATGTGAACAACTACTGGTATCAAGAGTTATGAGATATACAGTGATATACTGTGCACGTTAGTTGTTGGCTTGAACCGGCAGCCTTTCAAAGCAGAGACCTAGCATCCTGCACTAATGCCTCCAGCACAGTCACAGACACATGGGCAGCCAAGCGCCATCAAACTGCAGCGAAAAACCCACAGGGACAGGAAAAGAAGAAGACCAAACCCCACCAGATATGGAAGACCATGAAACAGCAAATCAGATGTCACTGCACACTACAAAGAAGCTGAACACAAGACAGCCAAGATTACCCTCCTCAATATAAAAGCCAGTTAAATGAGGGGCAAGCTTGGAGTTTTTGTTTTGTACATACTGAACTGCTGATGAGAAGATGAAGACAGAGAAGGGGAATCCCCAAACAGGCACTAGAATAGGAAACAAATGGATCAAGGAAACCAGGACATAGAAAAGAGAAGCTAAACATTAAAACAAACGATGAAATAGCGTGAGCAAAGCAAACAGGAAACAAGGTGACAAGCTGATTACTGATTCAATCCATTTGTCATCATCATAGAGATTATACTGGACACAGTGGAATGGACGAACAGACTGTGATCTTAAGTGTAATGTCTTAAATGGCACCACTGACAAAATGTATTTCTTCAAAGTTTATTAGTATTAGAAAAATAGAAAGCTAGGTGGTGGTGTTAGGGCTATCCTCTGAATAACGGGCACAAAAGATGGCGGCCGCAAAAACACCCTAACAGAGCCTCAGTTACGTGTCAATTGCGCACTTTCGGCGACTTAATTTGCAGTTTACCGGCGACTACCGCCACCGCCAAGAGTATCCCAGATGGCTGGGACACATGAGCAGCAGCTACCGCATCTCCTGCAGCCTTGCTCGTGAGTCCCAGCCATCTAGTTTAGCCCCAATTCATTCCACATGAGCGGCGTGGGGGATGCTGTCGGCGGTGGCGGAGAACCACAAATTAGGTCGCCGGAAGTGTGCATTTGACACGTGACTGAGGTCCTGTTTTTGGCCGCCACTTTTGTGCCCGTTATTCGGAGGATAGCCGGTGTTAGTAGTAGTTGTAGTACGTATAGTAGCAGTAGTAGCCGACTAAAAGGAGGAGGGGGAGACGACTACAAACTAAACTACACATTTCATTACTGTCATTTACCTATTATTTTTGTACTGGTATTGGTCAGTATGATATAATAATATTTGATAAACAGTTAATACCCTCAATCGATTCATGTAAAAAAATGCCTCAAACGGGGGTAACATCTAGTTTCTATACCAAGGCAACAAGGTATTTTAATCTTGATTTAACAAACCACAAACAGACACACATAAGTAGTAACATCACAACAGCAACAAATAAATCGTATTCAGAAGATTACTACTACAGCCAGCGTCTCTACGCCAAACTAAACCATCCGTATTTTACTTTCCTTGTGCATTCATTGAGCATATCTACTCACATACAAAGTTTCTCAAATACAATAAATGCAGAGAAACAAAGCAAAGTAATTAAACATGCCAAAAAAGAACAGAAAAACAAAAAACTAACAAGAATAGCTCCGATATTCGCGTCAGCTGTAGATCGGTAGTTTGGTCAAACAATGGCGTCGCCTGCTGCATTCTGGGAGACACCAGAATTATACATGACTTCTTTTATAAAACCACATTAATATATTATTATATAACATAACCCCAAAGTTCTGTTACTTTTTTTAAATGTATAGCTATTGATTATAATTCTTAGCGTTTTAATTTTAAGGACGTAAAAGATTTGAATAAATGTGTTACTATAGAAACCAACTAAAGCGTCGGGGAAACAAGATGGCGGCCACCAAAGGCGGAGATAAAACCAAGGAGCTTAACTTTGTGCACCAAAACAGTATTTTATGTGAGACAGTTGCCAAGGAAAACAGATGTCAGAAGATTTTTACTAACTATGGAATAAATCCTTTTAGGAAAAGTAATTATGACACAATGTTGTATTGTATACTACTCTTTATATACTTATTTACGAATTTCTATCAATCGTTGAATTAATATTTACTATAAAACTAACAATTTTTTAGTTCAGTTGTTTGAAAACCTAGGACACAAATTCAGCAAACAAAGCAAAGTTTTTTTCCCCCTCTAAATTCACGTTTCTTATGGTACTAATTAATTTAGATGTGTGGGTGATGGACAATTTCACACCCGTTGAAGAATATCTGGATATATGAACTTTAGGCTCCTCAGTAAACTACGGCCGGGACAACAGTAGACGGCCGGTTAGTCGGAGTTCTGTCCACAAAGTGAGGTCGACATGCCTAGCAGACCCCGCACTGCGACTCAAATTAGCGACACTATCTATTACCGCTTCTTGCGACGCATTACGGAGTGGATTAGAGGGAACGATACAAGTGACAGAGTTACTGTGTGTTGGTGATAGACAGCGTCCAGTGCCCTGCTGTCATCATACGGTTTGGGTTTGGGTTAGGGTTAGGGTTTGGGTTGCTACTTTGAGTTTGTGCTGCGACACTACCCGTAACCCTAACCCACACCCTAACCTTAACCCTAACCCTAACCCAAACGCAAACCGTAACCGTATGACTATAGCAGGGCAGTGCACACTGTCTATCGCCAACACACAGTAATTGTGTCAATTGTTTCGTTCCCTCCTTTTCCATTCCGTAATTGCACTGTAGCCAAGGGACAGAACTCCGACTAACCAGCTGTCTACTGTTGTCTACCGGCCGTAGTTGACAGGAGAGTCAAACTTTAATGTTACAGTATAATTTCTGGAATGCTGTCGATTAAGAAGAAAAAGATACTGGCATCTCATAGAATCTGATCCATGAGAAAACTGAAATAAGGACTGAAAATCACTAGCCATGTTAATTAAACGCTGCAGTGTTTAAGGAGAACAATAATGGATGACACAGTTCCTGGAATATGTGACAGGGGTTGACCAGCCACCAGCAGAAAAGCAGATACAGGATAATGTAGATACCCTTAGCATCAAACACAGAAGACAATGTTAATTCAAATTGGATAGGGATGCCTTTCATGGAGGCTGTGATAGAAGCAATTGTCTCCAAAAGACCTTCATGTTGTCTTATAAGGATGATAATGATGTATCATTACTATTACTGCAGGGTGTCCTATGAGTTTACATTCATAGGAAAACACATGTTGATGTGTGTCCCCCACTGCTGAAGAATACATATAAGAACAGCTGGTTTTGCATTTGATAGTATAGGTGATATGTTTCTTTGTCCTGTGTATGGAAACTTAAAGAACAACCTGTTTTTATTGTTAGTGTCATATCTTGAGTATTGTAATTTTATATGGCTGAGTTACAATAGAAAAACTGACTGACACATTTGCCACTGTGTCCACTCCATGGTAAGGTCTTTGGATCCTTTATCTTCTTCTTCTTTGTTCAACACCTGTAATCTCTGGCAGAAAGTCCTGATTGTTCATCCATTTGGACTTTGGCTTTGTGCCAGGACCTGAGTTTTGTATGTACATCTCTTTTACTGGCTTTTTTGTGAGCAGTTAGTCATTCCTTGCCACTCAGGCAGATTCACTCCAATTTCGATGGAAGTACCCCCCAAGAGAAGAGAGCTGGAGATTGAAGTTAGAAAGATAGGGAGGACATAGAGAGAGCTCCAAGGATAGAACGACTTGGCGTGAGTTTGTTGAGGTCCTATGCTCCATTGGGGGATAGAGAGGCAGAAAAAGAAGACCCCCAACAAGTCGACTTCTACAACATGTTTGTTGAGAAGGCAGTGGGTTTGTTTGTGTTTTCCTGACAATGAGACCCCAGAACCCACACGAGGAGGATCCCTTATGACGCGCATATTATAATTTGTATTTAAATTATTTGCCATATATAACTAACAATATATGCACTGTTAATCATGGTCATAGGTTGATGACACATAGAACAGAAAATTAAAGACTGATAAATTACCTTGTTGTACTTAGCTACCAACCCAGTACACTGAAGCAGTTACATTTTATTTTTCCTAATTGTTTTCCATTTTCAGTACACGTGCTGGCTGGCAAACCCAACTCGCCCCACGATACAGCAGAAGGGGAAGAAGATCGTAAGTGTTTATGTTTGTGACCAACATACAGTTATTCCTAATGAAGCTAATTATTAACATAGGGCAGTTTAGGATAATTTTAAAAAGAAATACAAGGAACAGAGAACTGGCAACAGAAGCCTAGGTTTTTTCTAAATACTCCAAACTCCAAACATGGGGTCCTAATTAAATCATGCACTAGGTCATGTGGACCTAGCATTCTCTCTAATTATTCTAGGGGGATTGGCATCAGAAAGGGGAAACCCAGTCTTACCACCCTTGGCAATACTGGACTGCTGTGCATCTGCAGTAGGTATGAAAGACTGAAGCCTATTTATAGGCTATAGCATGAATGCAGCTGTGTGACCTCACTGGCTTGGGGCATTCACAAATTCGTGGCCTCTACCTCAGAAGCCAACAAAGAGTTTCATAGACTCACCCTACCAGTTGCATGCTAATTAAAAGCCTGCCTGTCTTTTCCTATTCCACTAAAAAACTATCCACACCCTCAACTTACAGCCTAAGCAGAGTTAACTGAATGAAGTGGCAAAGGATATGGAGGCTTTTCATGGACTCTTTACTTTTACTTTACTTTTGCTTTACTTCACTTCACTTCGCTTCACTTAATTTTTCAAATATTTTTGTTGCAGCTAATTTTCTGCGAATCATTGAGAGAGCTAACCAGGAACCTGTGAAGAAATATTCCTCTCCGCAGACAGAGTCTCAGGAATATGGATGGATAAACACACCTTTGGTATGAAATGTTCAATCTGTGCACCTGTATCCTAATGTTTAAAAGACCAATTAAAATAAAATGTTAAATAATGCAGACACAAACAATACATTGCACAATTTATTGCTTGGCATATCTCGTCAGATGCATTACTCCATAGTTAAAACAACATATAATGAAGCACACACACAAATCCTTTTTGCTGAAATGCATAAATCAGATTGTCAAGTTTCTTTACATCTCTCCACCAGAAATTATTCTGCTTCTTCTTCTTTTTCTGCGTTCATCTTCTTTTGTCTTGCACATTTCAAGTGGCTTGGGTTATGGATTTTTAAAAATCTTTTTGCAGGTTTCAGCTACACCATTTATGCTTCTCTTTCTTGGTCTTCCTTTCGCCTTCCTCCCAGATGTTTTGCTGTAAAAAGCCTTATATGCGTTCATTTGTAGATGTAATTGTGTTGTTCCCGCTTACAGTTTGGCTGTGATATTTGCAGGCATTTTTGGACCTGGGTAGCCTTCCAGAAATTCAAAATCAGGCACGTGGTTAAGATGTACAGTGAAATATGCCAGGCAATAAATTGTACAATGTGTTGATTGTGTCTGAATTACTTAAATTTACAATGGGAAAGAATTGTTTTAAAATTTAATGTAAAATGAAATGAATAGAGGCAAATTAAGGTAAATTAGAATAAAGTGAGATAAAACAAAGTGAGGTAAGATGAAGTGCAGTCACTGTGGAGTAAAGGGAAATGTGGTAAAGTAAATTAAAGTAAGGTGACGTTGAGTAAGATGAGATGAAGTAGAATGAAAGTGAAGTGGGGTAAAGTAAAAGTGAGGGCACGTTGAGTAAGATAAGGTGAAGTAGAATTAAACTGGAATGAGATGTAGTAAATTATTGTTAGGTGGCAGGAAGTAAGATGAAGTGAAGTAGAATCACAGTGAAGTGGGGTTAAGTAAAAGTGAGGTGACATGAAGTAAGATGAGGTGAAGTAGAATCAAAGTGGAGTAGTGTTCTTAACAACAACAAAAAGTATGCTGAAGCAAAAGTGTAGTGATGTAAAATTAAGGGAAGTTTAGTGAAGTGGTGTGCAGTAAGATTTTGAGGTAACACAAAATAAAGTATAATGGGATCAAGTATAAAAGTGCAATGAAATGAAAGTAAATCAAGATTAAATTTAATGAAATATGATAAAGTAAATTGAACCAAAATGATTAGACATTAGTGTTTTGATGTTAAGACATTAATTAATTGATAGAAAGACTTCCACTCAAGGATTTGAAACCAGCTCTCCGTTGAACTAATTCCATACTTTTATTTGCAGATAATTTCTGTTGTTTTTTTCTTCTGATTTCCATTCTTTTTTTTGTAGATTGAGCATGACAAGTCAGACAGGCGTCTGAACTTTCACCACCAAAACACAAGTATAACAAAGTACATGGACATTGCTTGGAGAATGAAAGATCAAAAAGAACATGGAAAAGAAACAGCCAAGTGATGGAAATGTCTTCCATACAAATCTTGCCAGTTGTACTCCTTTTCTTCTTCTTCTTTTGTCGTCTCACTGATACCAGGTTTTAGTCCAGTGTCGTGGTTTTCTGTATTGTCTTGCGCTTCTCGGGTGGCTTGAGTGATGGATTTGTTCATCTCTTTGCAGGTTTCGGCTACACTGTTTATCCATATCTTTCTTGTTCTTCCTCTCGCCTTCCTCCCAGATGGTCTGCTGCAAAGTCTCATTTGCAGTTTGGTCTGACTGCATTCTCACTTGATGGCTGAACCATTTCATTCTTTGACTGTCAATATAATCCAGACATGGTCTTATTCCAACTTTCTCTCTAATGCTGGTATTCGTAACCCTGTCTCTTCTTGTGTTGTTAGTGACCTTGCGGAGACAGGGCATTTCACATGCAGTTATTTTCTGTTCATTGTCCATGTTTGGCACTGATAACATAAAGTAGGAATAAAGATGCTATTAATCATTTGCTGTTTTGCTGGAAGGAAGACAGCTGTACAACCAGATAGATTTCTTATAATCATCATCATCAGTTTCTTTACAGAACGCTGCTCATGTAATGGCACGTCTGAAAGTCTCTCTGTAGTCAGTTCTCACGCCAGCAAAATGGACTTTCATAACCAATGCTTCTTCAGTGTCTTGTATCCACCTTCACAGAGGTCTTCCTCTGCTTTATTTTCTGGAAATTGTACCTTCCATCACCCCTCTCTCCAGGCCACAAAGACATTTAACATGGCCAAAATACCTCATCTTTCGGCACAGGATGCTGTTTATGGGACAATTATCCTTAATGCTCTGATCATGCCGGTTGACTTATTATAATAAAAGCCTGAAATTTTTTTTTATTAGAATTGAAATGAAGATAAATTTTTTAAACCCTGTTTTGTTTGTTTCTTTCTTTGTTTTTAAATTAAGCCATCTCTGTTTATTAAAAAAAAAATTTTTTTTTAAGATAGGCCGCAAACTATGAGAATATTGTATGTGACAATCCCAAACTCTTCCATGGTGAGACTCTCGTACCACTGTCTGAAAGCCACAAGAGCAGTCTTTCCAGGGAATCGAACCCTGGTAAATATTGAGTTTCACATTGTGAAGTAGTTTCAATACCCTCTAGGCCACAGAGCCACACATTTGTTTTAAAATTATAAGACATTTCAAAGGTAGGAAATTTTCAGTCAGAAATATTTAAACTTTTGCTTTCTAATAACTAGCCAGGTTTTTATAGTATGCTAAGATCAGGAATTTCTTCTGGCAGTACGCAACACTATGCAATACTGGTACCTTCTTTTTTTTTCAACACTACTTTACTAGACAGGAGACGCTGTGGCGGAGCGGCTAGACGCTCACTGCAGATCGGAAGGTTGTAGGTTCGCTCCCTGGCAGAGCCTTACTTTTTTCAAAAATGACCCTGGCTCCAAGGTCGACCCAGCCTTGAGTGAGTACCGGTGCAGTCCCGGAAAGTAAAGGCGGCCGGAGTGATGCAGACCACATCACCCATCGTGTGCTTATTGGTCTATAAAAATATAGGTCTAGCCCTATATGCCCTATAGCCTAAAGGCATGGAAAAAGTCCTTTACCTACTTACTTTACTAGACACTTTTTGGCTAGTCCTAACAGCTTTTATTAGATACTGGGGTGAGTACTGGTACCTTTTGTTTCTAGAACAAAGTAATGATGATGACCAAACATAATATCGTAAAGTTAGGAGCCAAGAGAATGTACTTCATTGCACTGGGTTTTATCCAGTATGACTCAGTCTCTGTTTTTAGAATGGCAAGCTCGATGGTAAATGACAAGAAGAAAATACCACATGGTACCCAGTTCTCATATATGCATAAGCTGTCAACTCTTATAACAATAATATAAATAATCGCTGTTTGGCTTGCTGGTTGACGACTTCGTCCTCCGTAGGGACAGTATTAGGGTCAGTTTTCATTGATCACATCAACACTGCAGGACTCCTTTTCAAGACTCTTGGTGGCATGCAATGCTGTCATTTTATATGGCCTACATAACCTAGTCACAATTATAACCTAAAGCCCCCCCCCCTTTCGGAAATGCTGTTTGAATGTGATGATTTTTAACTTTTTTTTTAAGCAAAGCATCAGATTGGGTCAGTTTGGTTTGTTTTTCATATATTTTTTTCCAAATGACGAAAGGAAGATGCTTATACATGATTATGAGTTTCAAGATTTATTTCTGCTCTGTACACGAATTCATTAATTAATTGTGCTTAAATATGTTGTAGTTTTTGTGTCAACATTCTCTGTAGTATGAAAAAAAGAAAACAAAAAGGGAGTGGGGGAGACTTATCCCTGCACTGTAACTGTGTACTGGAAGGCCTATGGAAACAAACCATTTGGTGGAATTCATTACAGTTATAAATGTGATATAATAAAGGAAGAGAGGCCCACACCACAATTTGATGCGCCAAGTATACAAACCAAGAACTACACTTGTCATTTGCCAGAATTTTGGCACTCTTGTTGTCAAATGGTTATGTAGTTGTAAGCACACACTGAAGCTGTACTACTGGCCTTGTATTCTGTTTCCTTTGGATGGGGTGTGGACCAAGAATTGGGTGAGTGATATAAACAACTTTCTGAATTGGAAAAACAGACATCTTTATTCAAAAGAACATGCCACAGCTGCATAATTCCTTTATTAATAATAATATAGATCAGAAATAGAAACAATATGCCAATGAGCAAATGCGCTTATATTATACAGAAGCTGCCACCATTATTTAGACATCCAAACAGAAGTATGAGCGCCAAGAAACAGATTATAAACAGTATTCTCATACTATCATTATGCTACAAATGCCAGGCTTGGACATTATCAAAGGCTAACATACGTAAAACTAGCATGCCTGAGAAAAGCCGCCAACATAATCATCAGAGACATAGTTAGAAAGGATATTATTTGAAAGACCATGGTAACAACATCATGCAGCCTTCTTCTTCTTCTTCTGCGTTCGACATCAGTCATGCTAGACATTGAGTCCCGTCTGGGTAACAAATAGGATTGTGCGTTTATGGTCGCCACCGGTCCCCCATAGCTTCTCTTTCAATGTGGTTCCCTTGGGCTAGATCCACAGTCTATGCTGGGAGAGGTTAGGGCAGTACTGTAGTATGTGCCCAGGGGTCTGTCTTTCTGCTCCACAATCACAGGCAGCAGATTCTTTTATGCCTATCCTGTACAGGTGTGCTCGAAGACCACAGTGTCCAGTCCAAAGTCTAAAAATTGTTGTTTGTTCTTTGCTGTTGAGTTTGTTTATGCTGTCACTCTCTGGTCTGTAATCTCCATTCTGCTTTCTCCACTTCCGCTTGAAAGACTGCTTTAGCGCTGTTTTGGTTTCCTTGTAGCTGTGTGGTGGATGAGGTTGTGGAAGATTACTCCCAGCTTTTGCCAACTCATCTGCTCTCTCATTTCCTTGAATACCACAGTGGGCTGGTATCCACTGCAAGACCAGTTCTGCTTTCTTGGAGAGTAAGCCAATGTTGGTCCTTAGATCTGCAATTAGTTTGTCTTGTTTTTTGCTTGATAGTGCTTGGAGAACAGACAATGAGTCACTAAGTATAACAATTTTGTGCCCTCTGTGTTCTTGATTGATGAGATGTTGGACTGCAGAAAGGAGGGCAGTTGCCTCAGCTCTGAAGTTAGTGCATATATCACCTGCTGGTAGAGAGAGTTTCTGCTGTACTGCTAGGGGGTTTAATGTATATTCCACAACCCTCCTTTCTGACTGCATCTGTAGCAGAGCCGTCGGTGAAAACCTGAGTCCAAGTGGTGTTTGGATACTTCTCATCAAGCATAGCAAGAGCCAGGGTTCTCTGTTGTGTCTCCGTCTGGGCATCTTTTGAAGTGATCCCTGATACCGTTAGGACTACATTTGCCTTCAATGGCTTGCAAGGTTCTGGCCTAAGTTTTTCGCACAGTGCTACATCTCTTTTAAGCAGATCTCAGTGCAAATTCACCGAGAATCGGAAGCTTAGATGGTTGGTAGTCTAGTAAGAATTTAGCCAGAACAAATACCAACGCAGATGCTACTCATGAAAAACAAAAATATGATGTGAAATCAAGAGGTCGCCCAATGAGGTATAGACTGATGACATTAAATAGCTTGTACATCAACACAGAATGGCAGTAGCCATTACTGACCATCAAGCAATGGATGGCAAACTCTTCATCCCCTCACCGCTGAATGACAGAAGTAGATATTCATGATGATGATTTACTTCGTGAAATTTTAATTTTGTTTAAGCTGCTTACACCTGCGAACTGATCACGCCTCGCCACTGCCATGGACCAAGAAAAAGAAAAACACTTGACATCCTACATGATCTGAGCTTTGGGAGAATTTGCTCATAAACAGCATCCTCTCCCAAAAGCTGAACTGTTTTGGCCATCTTAAATGTCTTGTTGTGATGGAGAGACCTGTGATAGAGGGTAGTTTCCAGAAAATTATGTAGAGGCAGACCTCCGCTAATGTGGATAAAAAGACACTGAAAATGCAATGAAAGCATATAGGGTTGGAAAATATGCTGTAGAAAGAGAGGCGTGTAGTGACGATAACGACGTTCTGAAAAGGACATGATGGTTGATGTTGATAAGTATTTAAAAATTAAACGCTTTAAGGACACCTTAAAGTCTTCACTCAAAGCATTTGGGATGAATGACACAAATTGGGAGGCTGCCTTTCAAGACCGAAATGCATGGCGTGCAACTCTACACAAGGGCGCGGCTACATGTGAAGCAAACAGAACAGCAAGACTGATTAAGAAAAGGATGGACAGATAGGCAACTGCAGGAGATCTCCTCCCTGGCACAACGCTCATTCCCTGTCCTCATTGTCCAAGAACTTGTCGGACCCGCATCGGCCTCATCAGTCATCTTCGTCCTCATACTTGATGAAAAATTGTGGTCATTATCATCTTGATGGACAACACACACACATATTCAAAAATAAATCAGGTTCTTCC